CGACCTTGAAGTTTTAGCTCCTTTGCAAAACCTTCAAGCCACAATGCTTCCTTCACAGCTTCAGTTAGGGCAATATACTCCGCTTCAGTGGTTGATAGGGCAACGACCTTATGAAGTGTTGCTTTCCAACTGATTGTTGTCCCAAACAAAGTGAACACATATCCAGAGATAGATTTTCTGGAATTCATACAACCTGCATAATCAGAGTCGACATATCCATCGATTGCTGCTTTACTATCTTCACCCAAGGCTCCACCATAAATTAGGACTCTATTTAAAGACCCATTTATGTACCTTAAAATCCATTTCAATGCTTTCCAGTGAGCCTTTCCAGGATTCTCCATGTACCTGCTTACAAGACTTACTGCATATGCTATGTCGGGTCTAGTACAGACCATAGCATACATCAAAGAACCTACTATGTTAGCATATGGAATTCTATTCATATAAGTTCTTTCAACATCAGTGTTGGGACACTGATCTATACTCAGCTTGAATTGAGGGTTTGTCGGAGTCACAACAGGCTTTGAATTCGACATACCAAACTTTTCGAGAACCTTCTGTAGGTATGCCTCTTGAGATAAGCATAATTTCGAATGTTTTCTATCTCTCCGGATGTCAATCCCAAGAATCCTGGACGCATCTCCCAGATCCTTCATTTCGAACTCTTTATTGAGTTCAGCCTTCACCCTCATTACCTCTTCGACATTTTTGCTTGCTATTAGAATATCATCCACATAGAGCAACAAAATAAAAAATGAATTACCCGGTCGAAATTTGAAGTAAACACAGTGGTCGAACTGGCTTCTGATGAAACTTATGTGTGCCATGAACTTGTCGAATCTCTTATTCCACTGTCGAGGAGATTGTTTCAGTCCATATAAAGATCTATTCAGTTTGCACACATAATCTTCCTTCCCCCTTTCGACATACCCTTCAGGTTGCCTCATCAGGATTGTTTCATCTAGATTACCATACAAGAAGGCAGTCTTCACATCCATCTGTTCTAGTTCAAGGTTGAACTGGGCCACCATGGCAAGCAACATTCGAATGGATCTGTGCTTCACAACAGGAGAGAACACATCATTAAAGTCGATACCTTCTTTCTGAGTGAACCCCCTAGCAACCAATCTTGCCTTGTATCTCTTCGACGTCACTCCTTCGATTCCTTCCTTAACTTTGAAAATCCATTTACAGCTGACTAACCTGGCTCCAGCAGGTTTCTTGATCAGTTCCCAGGTGTTGTTATCATGAAGAGATTTCATCTCATGATCCATGGCCTTCAGCCATTCGGTCTTCTTTCGACTCCTCATAACTTCCTTATAGTCTCTAGGTTCTTCATCTAGAACCTCACTAGCAGAGATTAAGGCATAAGCTATAAGATCTGCATACCCAAGTCTCTGAGGTGGCTTGATGACTCTCCTCGACCTGTCTCTTGCTAGCAGGTAGTCATTATCAATCTCCTCATCTTCGACAGCATCTTCTGCGTCTTTTTTGACTTCATCTGGGGTAAGCAATTCAGCATCAACATGTTCCACCTCAACAGGAATCTCTCCCTGTTCCAGCTCTTCGTCAGCATAATCAGTTTTCTTGAAATCCATCTCTGCTTCATTGAAAACTACATCTCGACTGGTGATACACCTTTTGTGACCTGGCTCTAGGCATCATAGCCTATAAGCTTTGACTCCTTCAGGGTATCCCATGAACATGCACTTCAGAGCTCTAGGTTCGACCTTGTCTTGCCTAATATGAGCATAGGCCACACAGCCAAATACTCTCAGTCTGTCGAGACTAGGTGGATATCCCGACCAAACTTCTTCAGGTGTCTTCATTCCCAAGGCAGTCGAGGGACATCTATTTATCAGGTAAGCTGCTGTTGAAACAGCTTCCGCCCAAAACACCTTCTTCAATCCAGCACTAACCAACATGCATCTAACCCTTTCAAGGATTGTTCGATTGAATCTCTCAGCTAAGCCATTTTGTTGAGGAGTACCTGCTACAGTCTTATGCCTTGCAATCCCAGACCCAACACAGTAACTGTCGAAAGCTTCGTTGTAGAATTCAAGGCCATTGTCGGTTCTCAACCTCTTAACCTTTCTGCCAGTCTGAGTTTCGACTAGAATCTTCCAACTTTTGAAATTCTCAAAAGTTTCATCCTTTGTCTTCTGAATGAATACCCATAGTTTTCTGGAATAGTCATCAATGATGGATAGAAAATACCTTGCACCTGAGTGTGAAGGATTCCTTGCAAGCCCCCAAAGATCAGCATGAATGTAATCCAGGGATCCATGTGTTCTTTTCTTGCCTTTGTTAAACTTCGCCCTACAGGATTTACCAAATACACAAGATTCACAAAATTCCAACTTTTCGACTTTGTCACCTCCTAGCAGGTTCTGCTTCCCCAATTCGACCAGGCCTCTTTCGCTGACATGGCCCAATCTCATGTGCCGTAATTCTGTCTTCGACATAGATTTCGTAGATGCAACATTTGTCGAACCACTTACAACCTCAGCCTCAAGGGTATACAAGCCTTGTTTCTTCACGCCTCTCAAGACTTCCTTCGACCCCTTCATGACTCTTAGGATACTTTTCTCTCCTTGAAAAACATATCCTTTTCTGTCGAATTCACCAAGAGAAATCAAATTTCTCTTCAAGTCAGGTACGTACCTGACTTCAGTCAATAACCTTATTGACTCATCATGGAGCTTGAATCTCACAGATCCAATACCTGTAATTTTGCAAGATTTGTTGTTTCCTAACAGCACAGATCCACCATCTTGATCACATAGCTCCTCGAACAATTCTCTGTTTGGAGTCATGTGCCAAGTGCAACCTGAATCCATAATCCACTCTTTCCTCGAGTCGCCACTTGAAACCACAAGAACATCAAATGAGTCGAAGTCGTCTTGAACAATGGTTGCATTACCATTACCTCCATGATCTTTCAGGCGTTCAGGGCACACCTTTCTTATGTGACCCTCCTTATTACAGTGATAACATCGAATACTAGATGTTTCACCACTATAAGACTTCTGTTGACTTTTACCTTTCTTCTTGTCGAACTTACCATCCTTTCGCAAGAATTTTCCCTTAACGGCCAAACCTTTGCCCACCGTCGAAGGTTTATGCTCCTTTCGTTCGTTCAAGTCCTCAGAATACAAGACTAATTGAACTTCTTCAAAGGTCAGGGACTCCCTTCCATACAAGAGAGTTTCTTTGAAGTGATCATGTGTTCTGGGCAAAGCACACAGCAGCAACAGTGCTTGATCTTCATCATCGATCTTCACATCAATATTTTTAAGATCAAGAATCAGCTTGTTGAACATATCCAACTGCTCAGCCAACACTTTGTCTTTACTCATCTTGAATGAATATAAAGCTTGCTTCAGGTATAGTCGATTCACTAGAGATTCGGTCATGTACAAACTTTCAAGTTTCACCCATAATCCCGATGTTGTAGTCTCCTTTGATACCTGTCGAAGAACCTTATCACCAAGGCTCAACAATATTGCGCTGTGGGCTTTCTCGATCATACCCGTCTTTTCTTTTTCCGTTAACGCAGCGTCCATGGCTGCCTCACCCTTCAACGCTTCCAAACAACCCTGTTGAACCAATAGGGCTTTCATCTTCAAGCGCCACAGACCGAATTCGTTCACTCCGGTGAACTTTTCAATCTCATACTTTGTTGAAGGCATCTTCTCCACGCTCACCCCACCAATTTGTTGTGAATAGGATACCGTTAAACAAAGTATACACGGTTTCTTATCAAGAAACACACAAGGGTTAGGGTTAATAAAGAAAAAAGCAACAAGGAACAACAAGGATTGGTTATTAAACTGCTATTCTTTCCTTTCTCTTAGAACAAGATTACAAGTATACAAGAATAACAAAATAACCTCTCTCCCTTTAAATTAGGATTTTATCTTCCTATTTTTCCTTATGCCAAGATTGAGAAACTAGCATCCTATTTATAATAAAATAGCACACTAACCTAATGGGCTTTTTAACAATTATCCAATACAAGCTAACTTAGGGTACAAGCTAACTTAAACAATTGGACTTACAAGCAATACCCAATTCAACATGCTAACAACCGTAGCAATATTTACTAATGCATGTTAGAACAGACTTCGACTACAACACGCATTACTTGCGAACAAACTTCGACTACGACTATAATAGAGTTCGATCCAACATATATATATATATATATATATATATATATATATATATATATATATATATATATATATATATATATATATATATATATATATATATATATATATATATATATATATATATATATATATATATATATATATATATATATATATATATATATATATATATATATATATATATATATATATATATATATATATATATATATATATATATATATATATATATATATATATATATATATATATATATATATATATATATATATATATATATGTTATAACGGTTTTATGTTATGCCAGCGCTTCTAAAAAATATGCTGCCATTTTATTAAAAAATAAGACTTATGCCAACGCTTTAACAAAAACACGCTGTTATATGTGCATAATAGACAACGCTTTTAACAAAAAAAAAACACTTCCTAAATGAGACATTAGACTGCTCTTTTTTTAAAAAGCGTTGCCTAAGTTGAGAATAGAAAACGCTTTATAAAAAAGAGCGCTGCCTATAGTGGAGAATAGAAAACGCTTTTAAAGAAAGCGCTGCCTAAAAGAGACCTAAAAGAGAACTAAAAGATACATTAGATAGAGCTTTTAAAAGCGCTGTCTAAAAGGGGACAATGGAAAGCGCTTTTCAAGAAAAAGCGTTGCCTAAAGATGACAATAGAAAGCACTTTTAAAAAGAAGTGTTGCCTAAAGGGGACATAAGGCAACACTTTTACATTTAAAAAGGTGATGTCTTTACCTACAGCAGCACCAGTATAGACAGCGCTTTTAAGTATTGTCTATGCCAAAGAAAAAGCGTTGTCTTTTCCCTTATATGGCATAGTGAAGATCATCTTTCGGTTTAACATTGCAAAGAGAATTTTCTAAAGTAGGTATAGGAATCTTGAACTTTGAATGAGCCGTTCTCCCGCCAGGGAGCAATAATGTTGCAATACCACTCGATGGAACTGTTATAACTATTTGATTCCTTGATCTCAAATAACTTGCAAGAGTTCTCCTCATAAACGTTTTCCCGGTTCCACCATGTCCATGCAAGAAGAAGACTCCACCCTTTTGTTCGGTTACAACTTTGATGATTTTGGAAAAAATCAAGTTTTGATCATCTAAAAATAAATAATTGCAGACTATTAGGCTCACATTAAATATTGTTTCAATTAAATTGCATGTACAACATATACAATAACATTTAATATAAATATGGAATTATAGAATATGACATGAAAACAATTGCATACTAAGGTAGAATATTATTTGAAACGTGGAATGTATAATTGGTCCAATAATTAGGCAGTAACATTGATTCATTTTGGTTCTGTAATGAATAGTATAGTTTTGCACATCGGTAAAATCATAGCTATAGAGCTGTATAAAAAAGTAAAGTTGACAGGTTTTATTGTGATTTATGCGAACAATTGTATGGATATAATAATGTACTTAATACCTGTCAGTGATGCATGCAAAGTTGCAAATTTGGTTTTAAGTGCAACAATATCATAATTTTGTTCATTGTAAATCAATCGATTACCAAGTTGTTCCAAAACATACCCATTTGGATATGGAATCGGTTTGAAATCCTTCAAAGTACGTCGATTTCCTTGCAAAATCTTTCCAATTTTAAGTAATGCCAAATTCTGAATTTCTTCATCATTTAATATCAGACCTGTTGTAATGAAAAATATTAGGAGTTGATGCAGTATTTTAATTGGTACCTAAGGATACATGAATATAAATAAGTAATGAATAATTTAAGGTAGGTGAAAGTTGTACCCGAATTGCAAGATAAAATCCGATGTTCATGCAAAATCTCATTCGATATCCAGGTCCAAGTATTATTCAATACATGACATAGTCTATTGACGACACCCGACAACAACATAATGAAAAATAGTTTTCTCAAGATCTCACTCGAACCCCATTCACTTTCTTCCTTTATAGCCAAAATAAATTCATTGTCATCTTCAAGGAACCCCATTGCAAAGCATGCATCTCTGAAGCTAAAGTATTGTGTACCACCTACTTTATGAATGTTATCGTAAGTCGTTGGTCCTTTTACAACTGTTAGCATCATTCCCAAATAGAATAACTCCCCTGTTGTAGATGGTACCCAAATCAACCGGCCAATTGTAAAACCTTTTTTCCTTGGTTTCTAATATCTATTTCTCTTATCATAAACAAACTTAGATACAAATTGGCCATATGTGAGGCTTCTTGCTTCTTCAAACTTTTCATTTGCAATCAACCATGCAGTGAACATGAACTCGGTTACACTTGCTTTTTCAATTACATTTTCCATTGTTGCATGGTCGTCAAAAAAAAACAACTTTCTCTCCAATTAAATGGTAAAACATTCGTTCCACAACTGGTGTTCATGGATAAATTTTGTAAGATACAATTCTCCAACATGCCTCACTTGGTGAGACGTAACGACAATCAAGATATTATTGAATTTCATCTATAGCCCCACCCGAATTAGAATTTCCTCCTTTGGCTTGAACAATTAATGCATTAATTCTATCATAGCCCTTGTGAATATACTTGAATAAGTACTTTATTGCAGAACATTGATTGCACCATTCCATATTAATGTGTGCTTGAAACTTCAAAAACAACCTATGTTGTATGAACCGACATGTCTATTGTCTAGAGTAACTCCATTTTTTAGAATTGTTTGGGTGTTTGACCTTCTTTTATATTGAGGGTAACCATCTTTGTCAATAATTGTTGTCTCATTGAACTTTTTTGGATAGAATTTTGAACATTTCCTATTTTTCATGCATGGTGATGACATTCGTGACAATCCACATGGACCATGAATCATATGTTGTTTCGCCAAACTATAAAGCCTTGGATGTAATTCAGGGTCAGGTATTTCATAGGAAATGATCTTGTCAATATCGGAAGGGTTCAGATATTTACTCTTAGGGTGCAAAAATATGAGAATGTGCGCATGTGGTAGCCCTCTCTTTTGAAACTCAATTGTATATATGACTATTATGGAAGGAAAAAGTATTAGTAATGTACCATAAAAATAGTAACATGTATTTAATGGTAAAAAGTGACATTAATGAAAATATGGTTCTGTTGAGATAACATGGAAGTTATAATTGAGTGACATTAATGAAAACATGGTTCATTTGTACAAATTTTCCATATACATATAAGAAAAATCATATATAAAATTCTTACAAACAAAACGTAAGAAAATACTCAATTTTTCAAATTTCTATATTTACTTTAAGGTAGTTATAATTGAGACCTAATAGTTTAACTTAGTGATTGAAATATCCCAAATATTATTGTATTTCATGTTATAATTTACTTTCAACCTTACTGATGAAACTCTTTTGTGATATTCAAAGAGTACCTTGAGAATATTCTCAAATTACCAAAATAACTTAATACAAAAGAGATTTTTCCAAGATCTTTCATCACTAAATTTTCATTAGAGGCTTCTTGGTTTCACATAATAAACAATACCATTTTCACTTAATACAATAAAATTGGCATGTTATTTAAGAAACATAAACTTACTTCCATTAACTTTATAACACCCACAATTTTTCCTCTTATTCATCTCAAAACCGAATGAGAAAATTAACTTTAGAATACTCATCTTTAAATCAAATAAGACAATTATTATTATAATATTCATCTCAAAGTCAAATGAGACAATTAACATCATAAAATTCATCTCAAAACCAAATGAGACAGTTAACTTACAGAGCTATGTGGTATGCTAAAGAGATAATTTTATTAACTCATAAATGAGTTTTGTCAATTTAGAAATCATATACCTTTTTGTTTATTAACACAAACTTTTTCACGACTGCATCCTATTATTTCATTAATATTTCTATTAAGAAATACAATCTTAACATTTATCTCATGTAGTTCCAAAATATATAATGAGCAAAGAGTGCCATGATTAAACATACATAGAAATTAAAAAAAAACAAATTGATTTCTCTTTATAGTCAATCATTTATAACATATGATGCCCTAGTCTTTGAGGGTGTTGAGTTTGATCTTCATAAATCAATTTATCAACTTGTTTGAGAGGAAGAGCCTTAATGTTATCGTGAGGATTAAAATTTATTATATTAATATTAACTATATGAATTGGTTTGTAATAAATTTTTCCTCATTCAATATTATTCTTTAATCATATCTCTCCCCGAAACTCAACATTCTCAAAGAACTTTGAAGATTCCCCTTCAAATACTCTTTAACTTGTGGGATAAACACAGTTATATTTGTTAAATATTTCTACAGTTATATATTTTCACAAGTCATAACTGAAAGACTCTAATAATATTTTGAATTTAAAAGATAAATTTAAAATAATATAAAATTTTATTATTTAAAAAATAAATTGAGAAACAAAATATCATCTATTTAATGATTCACCAAATTATCTTTCAAATAAAAAAAATATAAATAAGTGACCAAATACTTAAAAAATATTAATATTTATTGAATTAGCTTACTCCATTTTAATATGTATTTCAATATCATTTAACATTTATCAATTTATATAATATTTCCATAAAATAATATTTTGAAAATCAAGAAAAATTATGAATATTTTATTTTATTTTCTCTTGTTTTGACCTTACTGCACACTTTATGAAAGAATCATATTAAATAATTACTTTTGACTTTAACTTAATTGAGCAAAAGATATCAAATATCATCGATCAAATTTATCTATTATAAAAAATTACAGTACCTTATCCAGAGTATAGTATCAAAATATACTAAAAATATTTTATTTATTTGTTTAATCTTTTTGAGATCTTATCTCTACAAAAAAAAAAAGAGTATGGTTGTCGCTTTAAAAATACATTAGATTAAACAAAGAAAATATGAAAAAAAAATTGTGTCATCTTGAAAGATACCAAAAATTAGGAAATGTCATACTTTATGATCATAAGTTAGATTTACCTTAAAAGAGAACAACAAAATGGAGCAAAATTTACTCACCAAAATACCAAATTCACCATTCATATTAAGTCTTTAGGCAATAAAATCAATTGCTAGTAGTATTTATTTTCAATGATCAAACACTAACAATTAATATTTATAAACAAATTCTTACCATTATCACATGTACCTTACATGTGTGAGTGCAATCAAATAAATACTTGAAAGATTTACACCAATACAACATCATTATTGATAGGTCAATAAATTATTATATAGATATTTATCTTTAATTATATATTAAAAGATTGAAGGAAGATACCAAACACACCATTAATTCTCAATCTTTGATTGCAAAAATTAATTGTAAGCAGTACTCTCACACAGTGATCAAACATAATTAATAACTTTGTTCAGCTAATGTACATCTTTGACATCAATCATTATCCACATGGATAAAATTAATAATTACTACATATTTACCATCATAGGTATTAAATTGTTCGGGCAAATTGTGTCTTTCTTTTGGCCGACCATAATAGTTTGCATGAAATTACACACTACATCTTTTCTAATTTCGATTGAGTCAAATTTACACAACAGATGTTACTTTTGCAACACATTGCTTTAATCAACTCAATCAAAATTACTAGACATTTTAATAAATTCAATGGAAAGAATATTAAATTTACAAAACACTACCCACAAATGTAGGTCATATTCGTTTAGAATGTCATTTAATTATAATAATAATTTTTGAAAGTCCTTAGTGTGAGAACAAATGCACAATAAAACATATGTTTTATGAATTTTTAAAAAATGCATTATTAAAAAAAATATTATTGTATAAAACTTAATAACAATAAACTTAAATAACATAATCATGCAAAATGTATAACTTAAAATCAGATAAATATTAAATATTTATATACCCAAAATAAATGTCAAACAAATTCACATTTACACTAAATAATTCTTTAAATAAATCACTTTAGAATCAACAAAATAAATTCTAAAATCTAAAGTATACAAAATTTAAAGAATCAAATCTTTAGTTTTACCTTAAAATTTTGAGAGACATTCAAAATATTGAAAATTTTTCCATAAATACGATAACTAAATATATCTTAAACAAATTAATATTTGTCTTATCTCTCAAACTCTAAATTCATGTGCAGATTTTATGTGAATCAAATTGAAAGATAAAACAATAATTAAAAATCAAATAAAATGATTTGATAAAAAAACCTTTTTTTAATTCAAAACGAAGAATCAAAAATCAAAATAAGATTTAAATTCATTATTTATCTTTCCCAAATAATTGGCATAAATTTTTAAATATATACTCTCTAGCCACAAATAAAATATTGAAAATCAAAATCTTTAATAAAAATATATTTTTATGATTCTCAATTATCGATCATAACCATATATGTGATTCCAAATATATTTATCATTATATATATGCTAAATAACATATATCTCAAAGAAAACCAAAATTTTCATAAATATTTTTCTTTCAAAAAAACATAAAGATACTATTTTGAATCAAAACTTTATCATATAATTTGCAAGTCAAATTCAAAACTTTATTTGATAGCAACAAATTATATTTGAATCAAATCTAAAATTTTCTATAAAATCATTATCAAAACAAATATTTTAGATTACAATGCACTTAATGACCAAACATTTGCAACCATCCCTCAAAAAATATTTATATATAGAATATATATAATCCTTTATTTGAAAGAACATAAAAAAACATGTGTACATTTAAATTTATATGCAAGAACTTAAACCATACAAATTGTTTCAAAATAAATATACACACAATCATAAATTTCGTACTATCACAATGATTTAACAAATAAAAGAAAATATCCCCAAATATTATCCTAAAAAATTCATGTCTTGAAAAATAAAACTCACACAATCATGAATTTCAAATATATGTTTCATAATCGCATATCCATAAAAAAAATTGAAGTTTAGTAGGAAAATCTCAATAAACTTAATATGAAGACGTTCTCTGATAGCACTTTTTAGAATTAAATCAATAATAATTAATCACATATACATATTCTACCTATTATATCATATATTTTAGTGCATAATAGAATAGATGATATGAACAATTAATAC